TTGCTGCGGCCGCCCAGAGCCCATGCCCGCGCTGCCCTGCGGCTCCTCTTCACTACCACCACTGCCCTGCTGCGCGGCTCAGAGGTGACGGTGGCAGAGAGGAGCCACAGGGCAGCCCAGGCACAGGCCGGGGTCTGGGTTGTGTGCACGGGTTCTGGCTGGTCCACTTCAGCTAGGGTGAATCTGGAGCGGGCACGGGGCAGGCCAGGGTTGGGCCAGGGCCAGGGCTGGGGCTATGTGCTGTTGGCAGTGGCAGGGAGGAGCCACAGGGTGCGTGGGCTCCAAGCTGTTGCTAGGGAGAGGTAGAGGGGGGGTACTGACCATCCTGCAGCAGCTCCCCTGAACTGCCTATGTGGCCTGCAGGCCCAAATAATTGCCCACCCCTGCCCTACGTTGTAAACTGTAGGAACCGAGGTTTGACCCTAGCTGACTTAAAAAGGCATCCCTCCATTGGTGCTGACTTACAACAGTTTGTGTATCTAAATCTATAACTGCACTTAAGTTCTGAGTCCAGGTTAGATGAGTTCAAAAGAAATGATTTCCACACTTCCTCAGGCAACAGTTTTCTAATAAACCTCATCCTGTGTGCAGTACTCAGAGTATAATCACAAGGATGGATTTTCAGCTCACGCTAAGGTCAAGCTGCAATCTGGGCCATCAGGGCTCCATGTTTGTCTTGCTGTTGCCTTGGTATTAGGAGTTTCTCAGAGCCTGACAACTCTCCTGTTTCTCTTGTCCTAAGGGTCTCTTCAGGGTGGCTCCCTCCGCCTCCAAGTTAAAGAAACTCAAAGCTGCTCTAGACTGCTGTGTAGTGGATGTGCAAGAGTATTCAGCCGACCCGCATGCCATTGCAGGTAAAGGGCATCTCCCCTCTGACACTCCAGCCTTCAGTACTGGCACTTTGCATTTCTGTATATGATCCCTTCCCATCCAAGGGACTGTTAATTAACTGAGCCCCTGCAGCAGGGAAATCCTCTTGTTGAGAGCTGGTTGGGAATTTTCCAGCAGTACATTGTACACTGGAAAATACTGATTCATCCAAAGGAAGTTTTTCAAAGAAACATATAGCTTTTGACCAAAGTTTTCTTTAAAAAAAAATGAAGTATTCTGGTTCTGTGTGTCAATGTTAATTTTTGTTTCAGTTTCATTTGAATGTGTTTGATAGTGGATATAAATATAAAATAAAAGAATTGAAACCAGAGTGGCTCATTTCAGTCTAACAAGATAAAAATATTTTTATTGGCCTACATCATTTATTTTTAATTATGTTTCTTAGGAAATTTTGAAACTGTTTTGTTATAGCTCTGTTCTAGAACAGAGAAAAGATTTGGAAATTGTGACATTTTTCTATGATTTCCCTCCCAGAACACACCCAACTCCTAGTACTGTCTTGTGCAGCTGTGCACTTGAGATCCACTGCTGTATTTTCTAAACAGCAAGGAAAAAGGAAGCACCCTTCAGTAGGGACCTCATATAAGGGTTAATAGCTCTGCCTGATAGGAAGAAGTCAAAAATGACCTTTTTTGGCATTTTATTATATAGCTTTTCAAATGATCAGGTCACTTGAGTAAAGCTATTTAAAGAAAAAAAAGAGAGAGAGAGAATCTGAACTCATTTGCCCCATTTATTTCTACCTTTGAGAAAAAATAGAACAGTTGGGTAGTCTTCATTATATATTTATATCTAATATAACTCTAGCTGTACATTGTGTAAAACAATTACCTAGTTCTTTAACTGAAAACAATGGATGGAATGATGTTCTCGCAGTAATATAAATCCAGAAAAACTCTGTTCTGGAATTAATCCTGGTTTCCTGCAGCGTGATGAAAAAAATTGGCCCATTGCCTCTCAACATAAAACAATAGGGTGTCTGATAAACAAGCACTGAAGAAGCTATGTAATGATATATTAGGCCTAACGTGGGATAGGAACACTAATGGATTTGGCAGTTAGTATGGAAAATAAATGTGACCTCTGCTTAAACACTGATTTCATGTACACGTTATACAAGGGCAGAACAACTTCTAAGTGCCGGGGGCACACCAGCAGGGGTTACATGCTACCAGTCAAGCCACAGGTTATTGGGCCACATAGACATTTTCTCCCACCCAGTACTGCACAGTACAGCCATGAGGGCACCCTTCCCTGCCACTGCTGTACTAGGCACCCCACCCCCTGCTGTAGCACATGGGCAGGCAAGCACAATTCAAACCCTCCCCACCCAGGTGCAGCACATGCCCTGGAGGGCACCCCACCACCACTGTTGCAGCACACAGACACTGGCTCCCTTGCATGGCCTCGTACTTAGCCTCAGCTCCCTTAGCGCTCATTTTGTTGCCTTGCCCCCCTGAGGGGGAGGCAGGCAGTGGCAACTGGAGAAGGAAGGGGGAGTCTAGAAACCGGGGGCAGTGGCAGCCGAACAGGACCCCAGGGGCCACAACTTAACGACTCGTGAGCTTCACCCTCATGTACCAGTTGGCTTTAGATTTGCCAAATAGAGTCAGTACTTCTCAATCTTCAGTTTTCTCAAACTGTTATGTTGTCTTTGTTTTCCTTGCTTGCCTACAATTCTGTTTGCTGCAAAAGAGAAAGAAAATGTCATTTTGATTTCAGTAGTTTCATAATGTTTATTAATTTCCCTGATTCCCTGATGTTAGCCAGTGGATTTGTCTGGTGCATTTTAAAGACTCTAAATGTATTCAGATAGATGCAAAATCTGTTTTGTTCAGAAAAGTTATGGGTGATGCTGAAGAAACGTAAATACTATTATGATAGCCATGAGGCATTCTGCAAATTGGGTGATGAGCATTGGATAAATGGCTAGATACACCTATATGCTTGTATGTTCGCGCGCACATACTCCATCAAGTTTCAAAACTGGTTCTTACAGATTCTGTGACTAAGCAAAATGCTGGACAAATAACGTCTTCTCTGTAATGTTAAGCTGCTGTTCCTTTCTGGATTAGAGATGGTTTCCCTGCCCTTTCAAGCTTTTACCTGGGACATGCTGAGGACACCCTCAGTTGGTAGCAATATCAGTGGCAGCAGAGGGTGCTCAGTGCTTTGCAGGATTGATCCCTAATGAAATGAGTCTGATCTTGCTCCTATTAAAGCAAATGGCAAAGTTGTCTTGGAATTGCAGCTGAAGCAGGCTGTACACTGCTGCTACAATGAGTGCTATTCCGTGACTATTACTGATATGAATTATTGTGGGTGCAGGTTGGGGTCTTATAGAAGTGACAAAAAGACCAGATAGATGTAGGTAGAAAGTATGCATGGCTGTGATCATATATTATTATATTTTAAGATGGGTGTTGGACTAATGGGCTATTTGGGATTCACATTTTGAGAAACTTATGAGTAAATTAGTTGAAAAAAGGAGTCAAAATGATTCATTCTAATCTCACTGCCCCAAAAGAGGAAAAAGAGAAAGTAACTGACAGCAGGA